CATTTATATAAGAAGATACTTAAAGAGCTGCAGGGCAGATATTCTTAAGGCTGTTGGTAGTATGAAAAAATGAAGAAGTCAAAGTCCGAAAGGCCAAATGGATGGGTATGGTTAGCTATGAGAACTGCAGAGAGAGGCGATATATTTAACAGTCGTATGATGAAGAAAGAGTGAGATAAGGCAGATAGAGCAATAGAGAGAAGGGAAAAGAGCAGAGAAAGAGAGGGTGAGAGAGAGTTGGAGAGGAAAACAGAGATCAAAGGAGGGGAAGAGAGCTAGGCAGACAGAAGGAGAGAGCAAGAGAGAGAGACGAACTGAGAGACAGCATATGGATAAACACATAACATTTATAAGTGATATAGATATATAGATACATCTGATATAATTTATCCACCAAGTTGGATCATAAAGTCTAAATGAATTGCCTTGAAGCCATTTTAATGGTTTCATTGTGTCGCTGGCTTGGGCCACCCTTAGCAACGCGTGGCTCTCACGCTCGGCCGCTTGTTTATACTAATTTATTTAATTTTGTTGCCAATTTGTGAGCAATTCAAAGGATCTAAACTAATTTAGCAAATTGATTGGAGACCAAGCCCAGGCCCCGTTCGCTTAGAAGCCATAGAAATGCGAATCAAACAAATGCGGCAATTAAATTTTCATATGCGTGCCACACGACCAGGACGGATGCAGAGCTCTCAGACGGACGTGCGTCAATTAGGGGCAAGCTTGGGTGGTTGCTCAGCGACATCGGCCGCTGCACACGCCCACAAGGAGGCATGCCACGTGGCCGTTGCATTGTGCATTGAGTCAATAGAGGTCGGCCGTTCGGCTCGGGGTGCGAGTCTCATTAGCGTGCAACCAGGTAAGAGCGCTTGAAGCCAGCCACGTGGCAGCTGCGGTACCCACAGCGGAGTCCAATGCGAATGCCTGAATGGGAACTGAAAATGTTTTCGTGTTGTGTCACCAAACAAATGTTGCACCGCTGACCCAATTGCCACGCCGGGGTCAATGATAATTTCAGGAGCTTTTGGCCGCGTTGTTATTCGTGCGGTCGTCGAGATCGTGAGCCAGCGCTTGGGCGCTTGGGCGCTCCTTCAGCCAACAAAAAAGAGAAACACAACAGACAGCTGCACGTGGTGGGCCGCCGGTGGTGGCGCCACAGCGAGCATTGCTCCTGACATATGCAAAAAGCGGCTGCCATAACTGGCAACTGACTGCTGACTGGGCCACAATAGTTGCTCTCTGCTATTGCTTTTTCTCATGATTTGACTGCGATTTGCATTGGCTTCATGGAAATCTGTCAGCGACCTACAGATTTATGGCAACGGTTCCAGTTGCCGCCAATGTGGGCGTCACATTATGTTGCCACAAGAAAGATGAAAACAAAAAAAAAAGGTGAAGAGGAAAATCGATAGACGAACAGAAAAGTCTACAAAGCGTCTGCGTTGCTGCTGCCCTCCCCTTCCCACTCCACTGGCAGGAACTGTGTGCCTGTGCGAGGGAGAGGGATATATGAATATATTTAAGTCTGCAAATTAATTCAAAATGGCCGCCTTCAAAAAAGCGAGTGACATGCGCGCAGAGAGCGAGACAGACTGGCAGAGAGTGAGAGGGAGAGAGAGAGAGAGAGAGAGAGCGTGCATAGTCTCCACTGCGCCTTGGTTGCCAGGCAACGCATAAGCTAGGTTGGGGGTTGCTTGGCGCCCAGAGGGTGCCCAGGGTTGCCACGCATCAGAAGCGCTGGGAATCGATTGCAGTGGACACCAGATGCAAGCTCTTTCGTTGGCTCAAGCGATTCGGTACGGTTTGATTGGGTCCCACTATCTGCAATGCTATATGCCACTCCTGGAGGCATACATCAACCCGGTTTAACCACCTTACAATGCTGCCGCCTGCCACTTGACAGCTGCGCTTTGTGGCAAGCAATCAGTGCACGTGACCGGCACACGAGCCGATGTTCTGCTCATTAGGAAAGGCTGACAAGCGTTTTGCCATTCCTGATATGATCATCAAAATGCCAAATCTCGCTCGAGCAACAACAACAACCCTCCTTTAACAACCCACTGTGATTAAGTCCACTAAGCTGTTGTTGCACAGTGGGAAAGTCACGCCAGTGGCATGTCACCGACTGCTGCCACAACTGCAGCAGTTTACAGCTCATTGCATTTCATCACGCTTTGTATTTGAGCAAAGCAGAAGTTTTTCTCAGGCCTCACAATATTTTCAACGATCTTGCCACACTCAAATGTTAGCTAGGAAACCCTTGGGAATTCTAATGATTGTAAAGTGGGCAAGGGACTCACAGATCTGCTATGTAGGAAATTCCATTTACTAACTCTAAACTAGATCTGCTTTAGACCTATTGAGCTGAGGTATACAATGCCTGCCTGAGTTCAGTATTCTCATGAAAGCAAGAGTAATTTGCCTTTAGTTAAGCTGTTCCCTGCGATACCTTCTACAGCTCTTGACTCTACACTATTCCTAAAATTTCTGTTATGCCTTATTCATAGAGTATTCAGGCTTCGTTTAGACCTTCTCCAGACTGTTTCCTTTTGGGTTTTGCATGCTGACTCTTGGAGCAGTCGCTGTCTTGTATCCTCGGACCACGTAATCATGTTACGACACACAGGCTGACATCAGAGTTGCAGCAAAAGCGATTAATATCGCACACGACACGAAGCTGGGCAGGAGCAAGACTCCAAAACTTCAAACTCCAGACTCCAGAGTCCAAGCTGCAAGCTCCCAGCAGCAGCTCCCACAACGAGCTCCCATTTGACGGTGTGGAACATGATGCCAACTCTGACTCTGACTTGGTCTTTCATATGATGCTGGCCATTGTTGTTTGTGGTGGGTGCTGGTGCCGGCTGGTGGTGCTGCAGGCGGCCCAACAGATTTCGTTTAAAATGACTTAATGGCAAACAGCTCATAAATTCACGAATTTGCATAAACCGACTCGACTATTTGGGCAGCATTGCAATTGCAATTGCAAAGAGGGAAGCGCCCCTCGGGGCACATCCAGCAGTCAGGTCGAAGCGAGTGAGTCAGCTGCAACAGCAACAGCCACAGCAGCAGCTGAAACACGAGCTGGAACTCTTGTGACTGGCAGCCTAATAAACACAATTAACTTCATCATTTTGAACTCAAATTATTTCATTTCAATGCGATAAAATCGCAAATCACGAAGCGGCAGCCAAAGCGAAAGCGCGGCTCTAGCCAAAAAAAAAAAAGAAAAAACGAAAAGCCAGTCGAGCAGACAATAGAGCCAGCCAGACACAGCAGACAGAGGAGATCGGTGAAAATTAAGTCAAACTGTTGCTGCAAAACGTTTTGCCAATCGGCTCGACCAATCGAACCGATCGGGACTTTGGCCTGTTGCACCCGCACCACATGCCACTTTCAATTGCTTGGGCCGAGCAGCTGCATCGGAAATGAAGCTGCCGCCTGGCCATAGGGATAGCTAGGGACGTGTCGAACTGCAGTGCGCTTGGGCTCCGAAGGTACAGAATAATGTTGCATGTCGCGCCAATTGTGTACACGATTTGACTTGGCAGCCGTCTGACACTGCTGCCCACTATGCTGCTGCCGCTGCTGCTGTTGTTGCTGGCTGTTGTTGTTTGTGTGTCAGCTAATCAGCTGGCAAGTATCTCATCTTCGAGGACTACTAGCAACTGCCAAAACAACAGCGCAACAAGGCACACGAAAAACTACCAAGTCATGTTGCCTGCTGATTGTTGTTGCTGTTGCTGTTGCTGTTGCTCCTGCTGCAGTTGCTGTGATTGTTGTTGGTCTTTTGCAAATAAATCTCTTGGCCATGGCTGCTGTTGGCTGTTGTTGCTTTTGTTTTTTTTTTGTTTGTTACTTTTGCCACGGCACCCAAAAACTTGGACACAACACAATCAGCCAGCAGCCCAGTCATGTATTGCTGCTGCCGCTGCAGCAGTTGTTGTTGTTGCTGTCGTTGTTGTTGGTGTTTCCTGGAAAGCGTTTCCTGCATTTAGCTTTGTTAGTTTGCCTTATAACTATGTTGGCGCTACAGTTCATTGTACAGTGCAATTGCATACCCTAGATCGAAGGCAAAAGGAACTAAAACTACTCAAACGAAGAAGGCCCTAGGAATTAAAACTGCCTTAACACACTCTAAAGCCTATACCAGATCATTTAGGCTTATAAGCATTTTTTATTACAGCCCTAACTAGCTTCTTGCACTCGATTCGCTTTTACAGGGCATCTTCTAGTCGAGCGCGCCTTTAGCAGCTTGCGCTGATTTAGATCGTGTCCACCAACGAATTCGCTGGCAGTTGACTTTATGAGGGTCAATCAGGCTAACCAGAGTAGTCGCAACTGTCCAATCCCAGGAATGCGATCGTATCACATGGCCAGGCACAGGTCGAACATTTTTTCAAGCCCATTGAAAATATTTCAATGTGATATTTTGGCTGTTTTTGCATATGCACGTAATAGCCAGAAGCAGATTTCTCTGACCTCATAAAGTATATAAATGAAAGTATAAAGTATATATATGAATATTTTATTTTATACTAATATATTTTTGAATTCTTAAACTGTTCTCAAGGCTTTTGAACACATCGAACATATCTTATCAAAATCGTTTATCTATCAACCGAGTTACACCTTCTTCAGGTATCTCACATTCGAAATATGTTGGGTATTCGAACGCGCATCCATAAATAATATAATTTCTAGTCTACGCATGATCTTTAAGTCCAAGACTCAAACAGCATTATTTCCAATCAATTAAACCACATTCTCCATAATTGCCACTCCATATTAAAGTTAAAAAGTTCGATGAAATATGTCTAACTGGAGTTGACAGAAATCCTAAAACATACTCAACCTTTTGGGGTGTTTTACCAGCACTGATATGTGCCCATTTGGCGTTTGGGATTTTCATTTTAAACATTTTATTCAAGCCGATAACAACAAATTCCAGTTTTTTTTAAAAATTTTAAATTTTTTATACTTTATTTTTTATTTTGAGATTTGTCGATTTTTTTTATTATGTATATAACGGCCGTATCCCATTTAGCACTCGTAGGTGCCTCCTGTTATGCGCTCTACGCACTGGCACCGGGGGACTTTCCGTATGCGTATACAGCAGCTTCCTTCTGTTTGGTCCACGGACTGCTCTCGGTCGTCCGGGCCTTGGAGGGCGGCGAGGATTGCGCGCGCTCCTATGCAGTGTCCACGGGCATTGTGGACGTCATACCTCTGCCGCTGGCCAACATCGAATTCTATTTGCAGTCCTCGCAGTCGGGCATTGCCTTGGTGCACATCTTGTCATTGATATTGCTGCTCTATGACGTAATGGGCAGCCTGGGCGATGACTGGAACAGCTCCACGGAGACGGTGAAGGATCTATCGCTGATGGGCAACATAGCATCCGGCACATACTTGGGTGTACAGGAGGATAACTACTATCACGTGGGAGTGTCCGCAGCAGCTGCCGTCTCAAGGGTCCTGCCGTCGATGCTTGAATGCGTCCTTCCTGAAATAGCACCCCAAATAGATACACTGTGCAAGGCCGCCATGATAGGGGTCACAACGTACGCCCTAACTAACCCCTAGTTAACGGTGCTGCCTTTTTTATTTTTAATGGATTTTAAGTTATTATATAATATATATTTTTGTGCTGTTCTACATGGGTGAGATTCTAGTGTAACCAACTGCCTTGCACTGATTAGCCTACATAAAGCTGGCAATAACCTGGCCTGCATTCCTCCCAGCTTTCCAATTGGCAACCCACCCGTTGCCAGACAAAAGCCTAGTTGGCAACTGGGCGCGTGTTTGGCAAGAGCTCAACTCACAGCTGGAGACTGCACTGCTTTTGGCGCATAGCTGGACAGCTGGCCAGCCAAAAGACTGGCTGGCTGCCTTGTTGCCTGCCTGACTGCAGCCGTGTTGGATAACAGGCAGCAGCTGAGAGCTGTTGGCCAGCTCTGGGCCATAAAAATGGTAAAATGTTGCGTTAATGCGACGTTTGTTCGAACACAGCTTTCAAACAGATCGACGCAGGCAATTGTTTGGACAGGCTTTGCCTAGCTATGGACGGACACGCCAACAGACAGTTGGATAGCTGGCTGCAGCTGTGTGTGGAGGGGCCTTTGCCGTCGTGTAGACATTTATTCGCCTTGCGTTTGACTCATGAACTGCGCGCAGACTTGGCCTGCGCAGATTTCTGTTTTTCACACGTGTCTCCTGCGCTTTTTGGCAATGTCTACAAACGGGAGCGGCTCTCTAAACGCAGTTTCTACTGCGCAGCAATGGCGGCCAGACGTAGTTGGGCTCCCTTACTCCCGCCCTGGCCGGGTGGCACAATCGATTTTCCCAAAGTGATAAGGTTTCAACTGCTGCGGCTGTTTTATGGGCTTCCGGCCAGCGCACGAATCCTTTCAAGCCGCGCACACGTGCATCCACTAACGGCAAGAAAAAAGTAACCAAGGGTAGCTGCGCAGCGGTAAAAACAACACGAAACACGTGTCACGCGGCATCAATTGAAAGCCGCGACTGCTGCTGCTGCTGCTGCTGCTGCCGTTGCACATCCATCAAGACACGTTCCGGAAATCGGAAGTGCGTAGCTGCTGCTGCCGCTGCCGCTGCCAACGTCTCCAGCTCCGCCTTCGCCTCTCTTGCTGCCTACGCCTTGGCTTGCCATTTCCCTGCCTCTGCTGCCGCCGCTGGCAGGGTGGCTACGCCCATGTTGATGATGTCAGCATGCGGGCAACAAAAAGGACAATCGATTGTTGTGACACGGCATTGTGTGGCAAGCGGCAGCAGTAGTAGTAGTGAAGCCCCTGCCACATCTTTGCTTGCAACTTATCCCATTTCATGTGTTGCCTGGCGAAGCCTTGCCGCGCCTCAATTAACGCTGTCCAGTGGAACGTAGAGACGACGCCCGCTCCCACGGCCTTCGCTCGGCGTCGCGCTGCGTGCTGCACGTGCAGCACAGGACATTTATTGGATTTTTGCCATGTTTTTATTTGTTTCTATATTTGCACAGAATTCCAATTAAATGCCAATGGGAACAGACAAGGGAATGGGATTTGGAATGGATATTATTGAGGCTTTCAGGCAGCCAAAGCCGAGCGTAATACAGGGTGTGACAGAGATCATATATAGAGTAGAAGAGTGTAAAGGGTTTAATGAGATGAGCATATTGAAATGCATGAAATCGTATTGGAATTCCTTTTAATAAGAATACTTGATTATATACATATATATATATATATATATATATATATATATCATGATTATTGTATAATGTGTAATCTATATTGTAGAGAAAGTATCATTTATATATATGATGGAAATATGGATTTATAAATAGTATAAAATATATTTATAAATAGCATTCAAAAGTGACTAATAAAATAAGGAAAATTCTTATTGGAATTCTCACGTGTTATATAACATATTAAATTATGTTATATAAATATGCATATTAAAAAATATATAAAAAATATTAAATTTATTTTAAATTCATATATGATATGGAAATGTGAATGGAAACGGAATTTAAATTAATGCATATATTAAAGTCAATCAAATCTTATTAAAGCTCTTTAAATGTAAAATCTATATAATTCATATACATATATATATTTTTAAATATGATATGAATTTATAGCATAAATAAATTATAATAATATATTATAATGAAACAATATAAATTCATTAAAATGAACAAAGAGATACATATAGGTTTAGAGTACTTTTCAGATTTATAATAATTTTTATAATTTAATTTTCAGACTTAAGTTTATCCCATTAAAAACTAATTCTAGCTGTCAATGATATATATATCTATATCATATACATATATATATATATTTACATCTATAGATAGAGGACTTATGTAGATGTATAAGCATCGGCAGTCGCCTCTTAAAACGCCAAGCACATTCTTCTTTTTCTGAACGAGGCATATTTTGATTACTTATAATAACAGTTCGCCTTATATCTTATAGATGACGTAGGTCTATTTAAACAAGCATATTTTAATATCAAAAAGTTGAGTGTGCTTGATTAAATCTCAAACAAATTCAAGCATAGCAAAATACTTCAAGCAAAACTCTTATCAATACTGAGCTGCTCTCAAGGACTTTGACTCCAGTATCCAATTATATGAAAATTTGTATCCTTCACTCTGTCGACTTCACTCCAAGCTAACTGAAATCGAGAAACAACAAAGAAATTGCCTTCTCCATTAGCTACTCATACAAAGCCCACTACTAAGCCTTCTAAGCGAATGCGCTGTCAGCTGAAGACCTAGCAAGAACTTCAATTGCTACGGCTTCTTGTTGCGACAGGGGCTGCAACACCCTGTATGCAATTAAAGTTCTACCAATATCAAGTGAAACGCCAATAGCGCAAACGGCAATTGAATGACGCGATTCCAACTTGGACTTCGTCTTCGAGTCGCTATCCGAGTTGGACTCCACCCCAATCAACGGCGGCGACGGCAGCAACAACAGGAGGCAAACAACGCGCACACAGGGGGCATCAGTTTTGAGGCACACGCTGCGGATTAGACGTGTAATCAGCATAAAATGTTGCACGGAGACGGGGCACCAAAGTGTGCAAACACGAAATCCAATATGCGATATGGCAACACACACACACACATGAAATTGTAATCGCGGCCAGCGGCCATGTCGATGATGACGACGCTCGTACGCATGTCCCTGTGCAAACACAGATGCAGCCACAGCTACAGCAACAGCCAAAAGATACAGATACAAATGCGAGTGCGAGCAATGAGTGGAGCGTGGAACACGTGCAAAGCCGCGGGGGACTTGCACGACTTTTGTGACGAGGCCGAAGCCGTTGCTGTAGCTGGAGCTGAAGCTGGAGCTGGAATCGAAGCTGGACCTGGGCTGGGCCACGCACCCAGAAATGCAATGCGCGTTGCCTGTCGCATTTAATAACTGTTTTTCATAAGTGTCCCTTGCGGCCATGCGTTGCGCCGTCATTTGCATGAGCTCTGCCCAACTACAGCCCCCTGCGCTCCCTTTCCAGCTAGCTGTTAGCCTGCGCCCAAATATGTTTTACTCTCGTACTCTAATTGCACGCCCCGCTTGACTCACGCGCGCTCCTCAAGGTGCAAGGGGCCGCCGCCGCCACTTGCAGCGTGCAACATGCAACATGTTGGCTGCAATTTATTAGTGCTGCCATTATCGTTTTTCTTCAGTTTTTAGCTCTGGCTCAGCTCAGCTGCGTGTCGTCCAGCTCCTGCGCCTGCGCCTGCTCCTGCTCCTGCTCCTGACTCTCCACTTAACACAATTCTCGATTCTCAATTCTCAGCCTGCAAATATTTATTACTATAATTTTCCATATGTTTTCCCTGCATTGCTGCCTTTTTCGGCAAATTGCGCCTGGAAATTGCCGCCATAATTTGTTGCTTACTAAATATGAAGATCAACCAGTTGCTGCCCCCGCCACCCGCCCTCCTTCCGCTGCTAGTCGTGCGGCACGATCTGCGGCTGTGTCTGCATTTGCGCCCCCTCGGCCGCTTCCCAAAATTTATTAACTTGTGCAAAATTAGTCGTTTTAGTCGTTTAGTCGTTGCAATTTGATTTTTATTGCAGCTTGTAAATTGTAGCGCCATATTCGAGCTGTTAGAGCTGTGTATCTATGAGATACATTTTTGCCAGCGCTCGCATCCTGCAATTAGTCTACGTCGTTCTCTATCTCTCTCTCGCTCTGTCGCTCTCGATCTGTTTATGTGGCACTGAAATTGTTGCACTAATCAGCTGACAATTTATGAGGCATTCGCATTTGGTTAACAAAAAGAATGTTGCATGTACATAAAAAGCAGAGGCCAGAACAGCCGCAGCTAGTACGCATAGCCAAGATAGAGAATTAGTCGAGCTATGTAAAGCATGTGGCGTCCATAAAGCAGTTCAAGAACTTTGATTAGTTGTAATCTTAACCAGCTGCATCGTAAAAACACGCAGGAAAGAGCAGCGAGAGGCATGCATGACTAGCTAGATACCCTAGCTACATTTAACTTTGGGAATTGCATTTGATATTTAACTTAAGTTATTTGCATTAGTCTCATGTATTCAGAGGCTTGCTTTACTTTGAGCTTAGCTCAAGCATTGCAAAAGATACTCTGAAAGATCTTAACTTATCTATTGCCTGTCACATTCGGCTCTTAGGTTCGTTCGTGCCCGCTCTGCGTCTCTGATGACGACAAAGATGCTTAAGCATTTTTAATTACAAGTTCTATGTGTGGGCCCCGGTGACAAGGCCCTTTTAATAGCACTGGTTCAGAGACTAGGACAGCTCTATAAACTGACGACCAACTGCATTTAATGTCATCTGAATTGCTATTTTGAGTGGGCAAAGGCTAAAGATTTAGCAACATTTTATGGACGTTGAAAGGTTGTAAACACACACAAAGCTGTTGCTATCTCTTTACTATATTGGTTAATATAAGAAGTTAAAGGTTTTAAATGATATTGTTGCAAAGGTAAGACAGGTAAGTTGTAGCTAGCAGTCAAGTTATAAAGAAGATTTTTAAGATATTTCAGTTCGAATCCCACATTTGATCAACGTTTCTACTAGACATTCTGCTGAAAGTGTG